CACTGAATGTACTGTAGAGAAACTTATTTTCATTACTCACTCCTTATTCTCTTAAAATAGCAATCTGACATGTTAGCAGCAGTCATTGTGCTTTGGCATTACTGACTGTAGGTTCACAGGCTTCTTCCATGTACATTCTGTACAGTTTAATATGACACACTTAGTAGCTCTTTGTTTTTATAAGTGCATACATATCTGTAAGACTAATAAATCAGACATTTCCATCTAAGTGCTGAGGACCTTTTGCCTATGCCAGACAGAGGGATAAGAAAAAGACAGTTCTTCTGCAGGCAGTATGGTTATCACCTGTACAACAATTTGTTTCTAAACCAAATAATCTACTCTGAAATCAGAAATCACTCTGATCCAACAGCAAGGCAAACAACAGCTCTGTGCAAGCAGCAATATAAAGGGAAGCTAACAGAGTCCTTAACTTTCTCCACCATGTCTCTGCTATTTTTGTTCCTAACAATGCCCAAATCTTATCATTAATGCAACTTTAATTCTGCATTTATCTGCTTCTATGTTATGAAAAAAAATGTTTAGCAGCATGACTCATGTTTTCAATATGACACAATTCCATCACATATGAGAAGGCACTGAAGTTCAAGACAAGACATGTCTGATTAAATATGAAGGAACAAAGGAAAAACACAAACACATCTGATATAAAAGACCACACTACGACCTCAGATTTGTCTGTTAGCTAGGATGCAGGAAATTACAAGATCTGGTGGACACAGGTAAGAAATATTCTAGAGACAAGTTTAACAATTAAAAAGCATCAATCTCTTTATCCTTGATGGAATTCTCTCAGTGAAAAACAGTCGATAGAGTGCTTGGTGAAAATGTAACTGGAAGCTTCCTAGAAAAAAAACTAATTCACTTCAAATAAAGGGCCATTTTGTTCATTATGTAAAAGCCCCTAGATGAGTTCATGTGGCATTTACAGTTCTGAGTTTGGTCCCTTAAAATATCTTACAGAAACTATACTCTATATTGCACCAAATGCTTCTGATTTTTACATTTTAATTTATTTGTAGTGCAGTATTTCCTGTTCTCACACTTGAGCCTGTCATTTTCACTGAGCAATACTCAGTCCTGTCAGTAAGCATGCACTTTGTCAAAACCCTCAGAAGAGCCACAAGATTAGCTGCAGAACTTAGGCTGGAATTGCTTTAAGTAGAATGAAAGCTGGTATTTCAGATTTTTATCTATTCCAACCTAAACAAACACATGCACATCATCATTTTAACTATATATGCCTTTGAACTACAGAATTACTAACTGAAGAAAAAAGTAACCAAGAGCCCTGACATATTAAATTCAAAATTAAATTATTAGTAAGATGTCTGCTCTGTCCCAGCACTCCTAAAACAGATAACCAGAAAGATTACTTTACAGAGAAAACACCCAGGTCAGAAGGGCTATATGCTGCAGGTCTGCAGGTGACACTTGTTAATACTGATCTAGTGTGAATGCACTTTGTTACAAATTAATCTGCAACATGCCATACCTATTGAGTGAAATACAGAAAAAATTGCTGGGGTATTTGGATGTTTCACAAAACAACAGAGGTTTAAAAATAAAAGTATTCGATGAACAGGCATCTCCTATTGCCTGAAAGGGTCAAGATTATCAAAATCACATTTTTCAGCAGGTTCTGTAGTGAAAGAACCAGGGAGGTAACACACATTCAAGAAGTAAGGGAGCTAATATAGCCTATGTTTGTGGTTCTTACTGGTAGCATTCCAACACACTTAATTCAGCTTTTCTCCATCATACCCATTCTGACAGCTAGAAAGGCAAGAGGCATCACATGCTGCTGCTGGTACTACGACAGGCTCCTGTCAACTAGTTGGTCACATACCACTACACCAGGTACACAACAGTTGCTTTCACTCCACAGGAATAAGGAAAGCAGAAACCATGAGGTCTTGTTTTCCTAAAAAAGGAAAGCTTATCAGAAACATTTATTAAACAGCTGCTACAGCAGAGGAAGGATATGACTGAGCTTGTAGTGATTCCATATGCTTTGAAGACCCAGAGCACACTTCCTATAACGGATGACATGCAGAAGTACAAAACACTTATACAGACAACAAATTGCCAGCTAGCTATGAAAATGATAATTTATGTCATCATGTCTAATGCTGAAGAATGTTCGTTGTCAAATAATTGAGTGCTGATGATATCTATTACAAGGTTGCCTAAAAATAATACAGAATGAAAGATGTAAAATTGTAAAGATTCCACAACAGTTCATATCCAGTCATCTATAAGTTTCCAAAGTTTGTACATTAGGGCCAAAGGGACAGGGTATCCCCATGCTCCAGCTAACTAACTTTTGATACAGAAATGCTGAAATGATTTAAATTAGCCAGCTTGCAATCAGGCAGCGGAACAATTGGATGTGCAGTGAAGCAGTTCTGTGGAGTGTGACCTGTGAGTCCTTCAGGTCAGCAAGCTGTCCCTGAGCCAGCAGTGCATCCTGGTGGCGCATTGGGAAGAGCAGTGCCAGCAGGCTGAGGAGGGTGATCGTGCCTCTCTACTCAGCCTTGGTGAGGCACAACTAGAATGCTGTGTCCATTCCTGGGTTCCTCACTAGAAGGGAGTCATGGAGCCCCTGGAGTGGGTCCAGTGAAGGGCTAAAACCATGATTAATGTATGTGCATATTAAAGACATTTTACATCATTGCTCTATCCCTCAGAAGATGAGAGAGAAAGTAATTCTTACAGATTAAATGCATAAACAAGCAACAACAAAAAAATCCTATTTTCTAACACTCATTCTTTGGTTTAGTCAGAGAGAAAAATTTTACCTATTGAGGTAAAATTAATATTAAAATTAATAGGTAAAATAAAACTAGTATAGTTAAAACTACTTAAACCAAAATAAAATCCCTACACCAACACTCTTCTTTAAGGAATAGTGCATTGGTATATGTATGTTCAACATCAACTTAAGAAAACAATCCGTAGACTCTATCAACTAAGTGCAAAACCTATGGGCTAATCTGATTTACTTATACTGCCTATAACATTACACATATAAGCAACTGATACAACTCCATAGATCATGTCCTTTATCCACAGAATTTAAAAAACAATAGAAGCAATATAAAGAAGCTCTATCCACTTACCTAAAATTACAATAAATTTGGTATTGACTTTCTTAAGAAAATGAGCTGAAATCCTGAAATGATGACATCCTTCAATAAATTAAAGACTGCCATTATTACAGAAAGACAGATATAAACCCCACAATTATGCATTCATTTCTTCCTTACTTCAACAGTAAGTGACATTGCCCATAAGGAACAAACAGCACCTAAATCCACACAAAGAGTTCACCTTAATGAACACAATGCTGTACTGGCTTCTTACTAAATCCTTACTATGCAGACTTTTATGAATCCATTTTGTCTTATAAATCCTGTATCCTGAAGAGCTCAACTGTCTGCTCATGACACCTCACCACAGTCTAGTCAAGGTCAATGATCTGCAACATACAAGAAATAAGGGTGCTCCCATAAATGTGACTGCACAGGAACTCTAAAAAAGCAGTCCAGCTGTACCAACCTTCAGGGTGCACACAATATATAAACATGGCTTTGTGTGAAAAAACAGGCTTATATAATTGCTCTTCAGTTACTATTGCCTGTGGTGAATGCATTTACTAGTGAGGGAAAGGGAGTTACATGTACATCTTGCCAGGTATGCAATTACATACATGGCAAGAAAGTGTTCTTTCCTACATAAAAATAAAAAATGAAATAATAATGAATATAATAATCGCATGTGATAATTTGTTGTTATAGCTTCAAAACAGCAAAAGAAAAAAGTGACAATGAAGTGACAAGACCAGGCACACAATTTTAACTGGCAGATATAAGAATACCCCATGCAACACAGCTACCGGTAACACTGCCTATAATACACCAATGGAGATTCTGGTCAACACAAGGACTTACACAGAACAAAACAATTTGCTGCTGTTGAAATTCTGTGATAGCAGCCTTCATGGTACTGCCACAAAATGGGCTTATATTGTGATCCATTGGGAAAACACTTTTTCTTTAAACGCAGACAAAAAACAAAGTCTGAATAAAACTTTCTATGATGTCTTGATTCTTAAATTAAAACAAAAAATCATAGTCACTTAAATCACAGCAAAGGGCTAATTATACCATACTAACTTCCTTTTGTCTAGTATAAAAGGACATTTTTTTACTTTGCCTGGCTGAGTGTAATAGCCTATGAATTATGAGATCAAAGCAGCAAACTGTATGTTTTCTAAAGTAAGAGTTTCCTTCACCAAGTTTTACACTTACTACAGCTGAAAGAGCTGTGTGAAGGGATCAGCACTAAACCCAAAGGACAGGCTGTGCACAGCAAGAAAGAGAGCAACTCCCTCGTGCTTTTTGCAGGTCACTACCAAGGACCATGTTAGCAGATCCACACCAGACCCTTAACAGGCAGCTCTGCTGCTACCAGTAATTAGCTTGGACAGCTCTGGCTCCAGGAGTAGCAGCAAGGCTACACCATAATGAGCTCAGCTGGGATTAGCAGGACAGGGCAGGGAACCAAGAGAGCTGAGGCATTCTGCATTGCGTATGTATCACAGAGATCAAACAAGGATGGCTGGCTAGGTTATCCCCTCACCACCTCATTCCAAAAATGAAGCACGGCAGTGTGTAAAATACAGGCTAATGAAGAGCGACACCTCCAACAGATGAGAGCCACATTAATTAACACAATCCCTAGATCATGGAATACAGTTTCTGTTAGTGCTAGCAAACTTGTAACTTGTCACTGATTTAAGGGGGAGAGAGAAGGAAGAAAAAAAAAAAAGAGCTGATGTTTTCCTTTTCTGCTTTTGGTAGATGCTTTTATAATGGAATTTTGCAAGGAATTCCTCTTGTATGGCCTGTAAAGCACTTCACAAAAAAACCCCAGTATGTTTCTTTATTTAAACACCATTTAAGAAACAAACTCACTTCTCAATCAGCAGCTTCTTGTTCTCCCTTTTGAAAAAAGCCAGTTCATTCCACATCACATCACAATCCTCTTGACAAAGCTGACAGGAGCTTGTGTGTTGGTATCTGCTTTTAGTATTTTCAAAACTGTTTATGAGCTTAAAAAGGTTGTTTGTTTTCAAATATCTAAATGCTTTGGGAGAACCAGAATAAATGCACCCCTGCTTTCAGAAAATACAGATTTTTCAAGTACAGCATCCATTTAATCTGAATTTTGTATGAAGTATACATTCTGAGGCATGAAACCTTAACTGTGGTAATAAAGAGAAGTTCAGTTACATAATTTCAGATAGATATTGAGCTAGTATCACACCATGCCTCCCAGGTGATGTGGCAGAATAGTGTCACCCACATTCTGATAACATTACTTTAAATACTGGTATGGGAAAGAAGAAGTTAAAATCATCACGTAATCTCTTGCAAATTAAGGGAAAGTCATCAGCTCCCCTAACACCCCAGCAAGCCAATGTGGAAGTTGCAACTAATGCCCACTCTAAATCACACTGTTTTTCTACAGTTTAATAAAGGAATTAACTATCTATAGACAAGATTATGTATTAAGAAAAAGCATATTGACTTTTGAAGCTCAGAAAAGTAAAATTATTTAACAGTTTTTCAGTCATTAAAGTATTTTTAGATATTTTAATAATGCCAAAGATAAAAATTGTATTAAAAATGCTTTATGGAATCAATTTAAAACTCTGCAATCCAGATTCCTACTGGGCATAGAAATAAACTCTCAGACAATGTGGTAGCCTCCTAAGGCCCCCATCATCTTTTCAGTCACGTACATCAGTGCAAGTTGTATGTACACTGACAGGTGGATTAGGTCCCATCAGCTGCCATCTCAATAACAGATACTAATCTATGAAGAATATGGAGAATGGGGTTCTCCATCACTTACAAAGGATCAGAAATGCCACATAAGCACCTGATACTGACTTCTTAATGCACAATTTACATTACAGCAGCACTATACAGCTTTTTGTGGTACCAAAATAACTGATGTTATTGTTACAGACTGCTTTTATTTGCGTCTTGTCTACTTCCTTTTGTTTAACTGTATTAAAAATGAAAACCAAACCTCCTTTAGTGTGACTTCATACAAATCTAGCCTGGTAACAAAGATTATTGAAACCCTGTTATTTTCAGCTCATCTTAAATAGAGATGAAAAAAATAGATAACTAATTGAAGGCTGAGCATTATATTCTCCCCAATACCTACTTTTCCCAAACACATTCATTATAACACAATCTCGTCTCATTTACTTTGAACAGAAGTCACCTTTGTCTCTCTTTCCCTTTCCTTTTAAATTTTTTTTAAACTATTAGAACCAGAACATCCAGTGCTTCACTGTATATCAAGTTTAAGATTTTAAGGTCTTTTTCTAGTTCAATTTTTTTTATCTTGTTAGCCTTGGACTCTCAATGGATCTGGAAGCCTGTCTAGGTATAGACACAGAATTAAATAATTGAATTGAATTTAGTAACTATCATCCTTAAGTCACTTCCAGATTGCACTACATTTAAAGCAGTGAAATAAAAGGAAAAAAACCCCCATATTTTTCCTTAAAAAACAAAACCATTTCATTATAATTTGCCTAAATATATTTGCCATTATACTTAGGTGTTTAAAAAAATGCTCCTGTGCTTCCACCGATGCCTGTAGCAATTTTGTACCTCACCATTGTTTCCATCCACACCTTTTTTTTTCCTTTTTTAAAGACAAATCACTCCTACGTAAATGCTAGTATTTCAAAGCAATGCAAATCTACTAAGATAGGCAATATCATTACTTATATATAAGGAACAGTTTATCATTCACAGTAGGATGCTTTATGTCACCCCAGACTCTGAACAGCTACCAGTTTTGCAGCATTTTCTGTGACTCTCATTTTCTCCAGAGAGAGATAGTGTCAAGATTAGTCAGTATTGTTGTAACTGCAAAAATAATTATTTTTAGTAAAAAACACAAGTGTTTACTGAGCTGTTAGGTGCATGTTAAAACCCTGTTAAAGCCGCAAGGAAACTACTTCTTTGAAACAGGTCCTGAAAAACAGCAGTGCTTCATAACTGAACTGATAAGAAATGCTTTAATTCCTCCAATTGCATCTATTTACCAAAGTATCTGTACGCTAAGGACTTAAAAAAATAATTTCTGCAAAAAATTTTCACTGTTCTGTATAGAGCCTAAGGGAGAATGATATACAGAATGTTCATTATGCAAATTTTATGTGGTGAAGTCTTCCCTCTTTCCATTAATAAAGATATATTACTGCATTTTTTGTAAAATTATCAGAAATCATTTATTTTTAAATAATTTAGCAGATAAAAACACCTTGCTTTCATGCACATATTATTTTATTTTTCCCCTATAAGGAAGGAGATTTTAGCCTCAGTTAATATACGAATCACTACATGTTAGAGAGGGTATTATTTCTATATTTTAATGAATAAAACTATTTTTAAAAACTATTTGAAACATAATGAGCAACTGCTGTGTTACAGAAAATTAAAAACATACAGTCAACAAAATAAATGAGTGAGGAATTAGACAAACATAAGTAAGCAGTCCTAGCTGACCTTTGTCCAGTACTCAGGCTCTCAAGGAGAGCCCAAATGAAGTAAGTCAAGGTGTCAGCTCAATAGATTTCCTCTTGGCTTCAACTACAATTTTTCTCACATAGGGGTTAGCTATATGTTCTGCTGTAACAAAGAACAGTCTTGATCACCACCCAGTAGCTTCTTTCTTCAAATCACATTCTCTTTTGAATACCTTTATAATACTTCTGTTCAGATTTCTTGGGTAAGGAAAATGTTTCTAATGAGCTATGTAACTTACCTGCTATTGCCCTCTTCCCACTGCTTTAATTGCTCTTTTAGCGCTCTGTAGTTGGTCTATAACATCTGCAGCCTTTCTTCGTGTTTTCCACAGGCTGCTCTTAGCTCATAAGATTCTTGAGACTTATGAAACCAGAAAAACAAAATCAGAGTTGGACAAAATGTAAGAGAGTATTACACAGATCAAATGAAAGGAAAGTTCTCTTTTATCAATTACTGTGAGACTCAGAAATCGAAATAGAAAGATCAGGACTCACAGTCCTTGAGGTCAAAGTTTTCTTATTAATTGGAAAATTCTGCTGATTTGGCAATTCACTTAAATACTATTTTCATGCTGCTGAAAGTTTTAAAAATTTACTACCAAAATGGCAGATTTTATCTGGTGAATTCATAAGCCTAATACATTTTAAAACACATAGACTGAAAAAGGACTGTTGGCACTTTTTTTCATTCAAACTACTTTCTTTCCTTTTTTTCCCAATGGAAAACTGTTCTATGTATTTTCAAGGGAAATACTGGCCAGATGAAAAAAAAAATTACATTTAAATGGCTTCAGGATTTCCACACATGGTAAGCTGTTTCTGTAAATATATATACACCTGCAACACCCAGACTTTGTCCTCTAGTAATGCAGCAAACAAGAAATAAAAACATTGTTTACAATAGCTTTTATATAATCAAAACCATACAAAAAAAGTACAGAACAAAAATTAAAATTCACCTTGATTATTATTGCAGGATAACATCATGTAAGCTTAAACCCAGACTTTTCTAAATGACAATACAGTCCTCTGGAAAAAAAAATAACACTAAGAAGAAGCATTTAACACTATAAAGCAAGTCAAACTACTCTACTAATAAAGAATTCACCAGCAAAGAATTCATTATGCTGTAGCAAAATTTGCAATCAGAGCTTCATTTTCAGTTCAATGGGAGCTCTGCTTGTAGAGCAACTACAGAAATAAATAAATCAGAATACCTTATTTGCAAGTATTTACACCGCTTATATGCAAGGAGGACTTTTCAGCATTAGTCAATAAATTAGACATACCAATAGTCAGAGTTGCAAACAACAAAAATTGAAAACATGGCAAGGGTTTCCAGAGTACTCATAACTACAAAGCACCTATACTAAGCTTGGCAATCAAATGTAGCCCAGCTTTCATGATGCACAAAGTTGAAAGACACCAGTTAAAGTTTCAAATGGTACTATATACATAATTCCAGAAGTTTTCTGGAAGTGACTTCAGAAACAAAAAGAGAAGATTTAGGAACACAATCAAGTCCAAAGTCACGCTACCACTAAATACTTTCCCAAAGTGGTGGTGATAGGTTTTCTTTCCTGAAACAACCTCTAAGCCAAATACATTTTAAAATTTTGAATTGTTAAAAAAGTACTTTTGACTGGGCTTAAGTGAACTCATATAAATACTGCAATGATATTAAAAACAACCATATAAAGCACGTAAATCTTAGACTAAGAACATAGAGACCATTACCAAGTTTTGCAAGAGGAAATATTCACAAGAATACAATTACAGATGTTGTGTTTTCAAGAGAAGTTCATGAAACAACTGTTTTGAGATTGGTTGATATTGTTAGCAAAAACTGGTCAAGTCTGGCAGGGCACTAGAAAATAATGTCTTCAGTATAAATCCTGAGAAGTTTATTAGTGTCAATGCCCTTTCAGAGATGCAACCAACTGTAGAATTTGGCCTTTCCTATTAATGAATCTGCATTTCTCATTATTGCTTACCTGTTCTATTATCCATTCTGTTACAGTTATTGCCTTCCCTTATCACTTGCTCTGCTCTTGCAGAAATAGAAATTAGACAATTAACTGCCCTAATCACTCTCTCTATTGAATAAAGCACTTCAGGATTTAAAATATTCACTGAAATTTCCATAATCTGTTAGACTAATCTCTGTCTGAATTATGTTATATTTCATAACTAAACTGTCTTGTACACCATTTTGTATACATTCATGGACGTGGGACAGAACAACCCATCTCTCACAGTGCTGGACCTCCAGATTACTCTCCAGCTGTACCCTGTCATCCCCAGTACCACCCATGCAATAATGAATAACAGTAACACAAAGTTCAATCTGCAGTAGGAAAATCCCCACTGCCTATGCCTTTTTTTCTTTTGGTAGGCTGCTCAGACAAGTCAAAATATTCTAATCACTAGTGCAAGTTTTCATTGAAATTGACCTTCTATTACTGTAAAAAGGAAATTTAAAAAACTACACTGATTCAATTATTTGACTATGCTTAGGCTTTCAAGAACTGAGGCCCCTAATAGTTACAAAACCAGTTTTTTCCACAAACAGTTATGTGGATAAGTGGCAATATTCATCTATTTTCAGCATCTGAACACTATAAATGGAATAGGACTACATATGAAATATGAGGCAAATGTGAGTGTACAATACAAACAAGTATTTAAGATGGCCCTGAAGACTGGTGTGCATATTCTAATTTTATTTACCTCCACAAACTTTAGCACCTAAAAAGGATGAGAAAACTCAAAGAGAAGAGCTCCTGTTGGTTTTGAGACTTTTCCAGTTAAAGCCAGGATTATCTCTTCTAGGCTACACCAGTGACCACAGCTCTAGAAGCAATACAGGAGAAGATCAACGTATTCTTAGTTTGTATCAAATACCTACTTCTCAACAACCAAACTCTTACCCACTTCTTAAAGACCCACAGTAGACTGAAGTTTTGTACCAATCTAAGTAGCAGATTGATAATTTGTTATTTAAAAGCAAAGAAAAAAAAAGAAACCCTCATTCATTTTCACGTTCTCTTCTGTAACCAAGGGTGCAATCAGGCACGCTCTGTTACTTTTTAGCATCCCAGAAACAAAGCCAATTCTGTGTAAAAACTCTGAATTTAAATGATCACCCCATTTATACTAGCAACAAAGATACTAAGAGCCATCCTTTCTTGTTGAGAAATGAGTCAGCTGAGAGAATGGGAAAAACCTGTGAATGGGACCTTAACCTCTTCTGCTCCTTTGTAATACTGACTGAGGCATTCCTGAAAACCCCAAAAATAGAGCTGTTCTTTTTTTTTTTTTTTGTATTGTTACCAATTTTTTGAAAGTACTAATGTGTTAAGTCACCATTTCATGTTCCAGACATGCATCACTAGTGTGTGTGTTGACAGAGCAACCACTTCTCTGAGCAAGAAAATTTCAAGTAATCATATAGAAAACACTTCATTTGAAGAGGCAATAATGCAAGGGCCAGTTTTGAAATTGTGGGTCAAATCCAATTTTTGTTGCTAGAAACAAAGCCTGAGAGAAGGCTAGCATTAAGAAATCACAGAATAGCAACATAAATATTCTGACATTAACTTTATGAAGCTTAGTTCACTGTCATGCTGGCAGTAGCCTCATTGAAATATGGATGTAGTGCCACAACAGTGTTTATTATGATGACCTGGGCCTCTACAGCTTCTTTTCAAACCATTAAAACATTCTGCAAAAGAAGCCAAATAGATTGTCAAGAGAAAATGCAAGAAGCTAATGTGCTCACTTTCAAGGGGAGATTTAGCCCTTAAAGACATCATGGATGTCTGTGATAGAGATCCCACACCTGTAACATCATAAACCTGCACAGATTTTTAAACTATACTTTCAGATTAAATAGAAGATAAGTAAAGGCAGTATGGTGAATGGTACAAATTATATATGACGTTATGCACAGACAGTTGTTTCTCTTCTGCTTCTGCTTTCCTTCACTCCTCTTTCCAGAAGAAATGTGTAGCTCTCTATCATTGAAGGCAATAGCCATAGACACTGAAGTGCATTTTGTTTCCAAGAGCAAAACAGCTGTAGCCTACAGTTCCAGAATAATCTGTAGCATCAGTGTCAGGCAGGCCAACTAAGAGTGATGAACAGAAAGCCTCCCAAAGGCCAATTCTCAGGTTTAGCTGGTGGGACATGCCTTAGAATTCTCAACAGAGGGAAAAAACAAAACAAAATTAATTTTCTGTCTCCCAGGAACAAGACAACCTGGAAGACTGAATTTGAAGTCTAAATAACCTCTCCTGTTCATATATATACTCTACATGTGTTAAGATAATGCTTTAAATTCTCCCATGTACATAGGTGGATGAACTGTGACATTTTGCTGAAATATACTTCCCACTTACAGTTTTTCTAAAATTAACTTATCACTATGGTTGGTAGAGCTTCCATTTTTTTCACTTACATAACTTTTATTATAGGATGTTTAATACAATGAATTCTCCTTTAGGCTACACATACTTGAAAATATCTTTCAAATTACATAACTGAACAATGACAAGCAACACAAAAAAGAGAAGGAGGAGAGGGAGGAATGTGAGGAGAATAAAGAAGAAGATTAATTTTAAGTGTTTAAGAAAATATGACTCAGGGTTTGCATTTTGCATTCAGAGGTGCAATTTTAAACCAATAGTTTGTTCAAAAGTTACTGTATCTCTGTAGCAAAATACCAAACCAACAAAAACACAGCTACAAAAATCCGTGAAACTGGGACAAAATGAGCAATTGCAAAACAAGCTCAATTAAGATTTTCTATGAAGGGGTGGAGCGAGGGGGATTGTTACTGTTTTTTTAAACAGCATCTTTTAAACCAGCAACTAACAGACCCACAACTTACATAATTTCCAGGGGTCTTTTTTAAGTTACTGACTTCAGCATTTTAAAGTGTGGCTTTATTGTACATAAAAGTCTTTGTACTTTCAGTGCTTCCACTTTCTGATTTACTTCATATGAACACATAAATTTCTCAGAATATATATACCCAAACACAAACTTTGAAAATGTATTTATCAAGTATGTGCTATTGATGACAGCTCAATTAAGCTTCCACAGGACTGCAAGATTACTCTCACTGTAAAGCAAAAAGGTAAACTAATGGAGAGTGCTCTCTGATCTGAAGAGACAGTGTATAAAAATATGTGTATTTTTAATTTTTAAAATGTCTGTTTGTTTTGGTATATCTTTATCTATGCAAGCTTATAGCTAGTAGGCTTTTTATTTATTTTTATTTAATGTTCACCTTTAGCTGTAGTATCTTCTCTAAGTTTTCAATCTTCCTTTCAGCTATTTTAAGCTTCTTTAGTTCCTCTGACTCTCTAAAAGAGCTCTTTGGGGACAGAGACCTTGAATGTTTCACAGGTGGTTTCTGGAGAATAAAACAAGGACATGGTTGAACTAGTTGGAACACCGGATTATGAAAGACATGCAGAATTAAAGAAGAAGTAATTTTGAATACTAATAATGAATTATAAAAAAAAAAAAATCTGCATGGAATACCAGAGAAATAACAAGCAGAATTACCACAGCGCTACCACTAAAGGTTTCTCTGTGACTCGTTAATGAGAATATTCATTTACATTTACATTGTTTCTTTCAGAATAATGATGTCCCATTAGGGAAGACTAAAGGGTTATAGACTCAGAAATGCAAGAAACCTCATTACAAAGGAGGGGATAGAGGCTGGTCTAATTGCTCTATAAGGGTCCAAGGTTACACTTGATAGGACAACCAGAAACAAGAGGGAAAGGATTTTTTTCCCTTTGAAATAGTTTAACACACTGTGAAGTTGAAGGAACAATATGCTTGAGGAATATAAATACAACAGACAGTAGATCTTATACCATAATGACCATATGGTCATTAACTATAATGTGACTAACTAGAGACAAGAATATGTGTTTATATTATGTACAGCTTCATACAGCAATCTGGAGAAAGAGTATGTGAAAGTAACACTTAAACTGGGCAGCTTTCTGGTACATTCTATGTCATATCTCCTTATGGCAGAGAAAGAAAGGCCTCATAAAATTAGACTTTCAGATTTTTGGAATAACTTGGGTTAAGAACAGTGAAATACCAACACACACTTAATGCCAATCAGGCAAAATACTGTTGTGCCAACACATAAAGTCAAACAGAAACTCAGGTAAATTGTGATTATTCTTGCTGCATTATGCCACTTTCTCTGCGAAAATACTGATCGACAATAAAAGAAATTAGGGATAAATTCTTCTTCAATACTGTAGATATCAATATTTTCACTAGTTCATTAAATTAATTTAATTTTGAAGAGTATCTTAATCAGCAACTGACATTTTTTTCTTTGACTACTACCTTCCAGCATGAAATATTTATAAGACATCATATACCACATTTTCATTTTAAACAGTATGGATTTCCAAAAAGAAGAAAAAAAAATCTGTCACGAAATATCAGAGAACAGTAGAATATCATATTTATATTATTTATATTTATATTTATATTTATATTTATATTTATATTTATATTTATATTTATGAATGTAAATATTTCCAGTGTGGTTTTGTCATTTGATTTAAGGATTCTTTTGCGTATGACACATACCTGAAAGAGACTTAAGAAAGTCCAACAAACAACCAAGCAAAATTTATTAGAAAAAGTGTAACACTCTCACAAAAAAACCCAAACCAATCCAAACAAACAAAAAAACCCAACAACCCCAAAAAAAAACCAACCCAAAACCAAAAAAAAAACCCCCAAGAATAAACCAAACCAAAACAACCCCCCCCCTCAAAAAAAACCCAAAAACAAACCAAACCAAAACTAACGTCTGGAAAATATTTTAGTACATTTAAAACCCAAATACTAAAAAATATAATCATCTTCAAAGTCCCCAGTTTTGTAAATAAAATGAAGAGCTTTAAAGAAAAAGCAACCAAAACCCAACCCTCCTATCCTCTACATTCCTTAATCATTATATACAGTCATATTATGTATGACTGTACTTTGCATTATTTTTCAATAATTGCTTCCAGGTAAACTTTATGCTGGTATAGAGAAAATCTGGAATATATACAGTTTCTCTGAAATCAGATATAGAAGGTCAAAGCACTCTGCTTGCTGCCAAAGTGAAGGACAACAAAGGAAAAGAAGGAGATCAACCAGCACGAGGCTCTTAAGAATTAATAGGTAGAGAAAACCTGAGAAGGAACAGAGAAAAGAGGAAAAAAAATACCAAAAAAGATAAAATTCACTGTCTTGCTAGTCTAGTCACAGCTGATCAGATACAAGTACATAAGAATTTTTTATACATATAGATAGATAGATAGATATATTATACACACACTCAGAGTTTATATATAGCTACCTGGGAATGTGCTAGAGCCAAGGTATGTGAAAAAAAATGAGAAAACTTTTAACTACTTATGGATATGGAAATGATTACCTGTGACAATGGATGGGATTGGTGATTTCACCTTTTTAGTGGTCAGACTAAAGGTCTGTGGAGAAAGGACACTGGATCTGGGCTTTACAGTTGCACATAGGTAGTTTGAACTCAGTCTTTGCTAAGGAGGTAAAGAGTTCTATCAAGACAAAGGAGACTGTGTAGTAAAATACACTATAATTGGATTGCCTGGGGCTGCTGCAAAACTCAGTTTGAAAGATGGCATCTGTAAAAATCTTCTCACAAGTGCAAACTTTACTGCTCTTGCTCCCGTCAAATATAAACATTAAATTTTTTATTCATATTCTACAGAAAAATTTTGTCATACCTCTATAAAATATATACAGAAATGTATATAATGTTTCAAAATGTAATGTTTCAAAAATTTTCTACATGTTTAGGAGTAAAAAAACCCCTCCAATTTTATCAGTGAAGATTGTTAATCTAAGTCAGGAAAGGAATCCAGACCAGAATATTTTTCATTGAATGTTCCTTAAACACTTTTACTGAAGACTAAACCAAATAGCAGAAAACAAGAAATGAACAGAGTTTCTATTATATAATAGATATGAAATTTTGTGATAGAAGATTTAGCATAAAGAAAGAGCAGGTAAGGGGATGGGACACACATTAACTGATAATGGAGGCACAAAAGCAGAAAAAGAAAATATGTCTATTTCTAGACAACCTTCTATTACCTGTCTGCACAATGAAAGACATAATGGGACAAAACTGCAAATAGCCACGTTCTTGAATTCAATAATTCAAGGTTTCATGTTGAATAAAGTGCCAAAACAGACCAAATAAAACAAACAAACAATGAAACCATAAAATAACCAACAAAAAAAAACCCCAAACAAACAAAAAGAACCCCACCAACAAAAAACCCCAAAGCCCAAACCAAAGTAGGGAAGTCAGAACTCCTCCTGAAAAGTCTTAGGAGCACTTTTTCTTTACAGGCTTGATATCAATGACTGCCAAGATACAGCTCAGAGGACAGTGGGCAGAAATCGTAATGTTTTTATCAACTGAAGAACCAGAAACATTGTTGAGGCTGAACCCAAGACTGACCAGATAGATGTGGGGGTTTTTAGAAAGAAAAATGCTAAAATCTTGATTCGCTATGTTTCGACAGGAACTTTACTAGCACTGCAAGATAACACATGTCTTTCAGTGTCTTGACACTATAGACCTAGAAGAATGGTATAGAATGTACATGAACAAAAGGCAATTCTAAGTCCCATGCACCATATCATGGGAAAGCTTAGCTACAAGAAAACCACAAAACCCTACTGAATTAGCCAGCCGACACATGAATGTCAGTTTAATCAGCTAACAGAAATCATATAGTGCTCACAAAGTTTAAGCTCCAAGAAGAGCTCTAGGAAGGTCAAGCCACTGACTCCTAAGTCTTCAAAGACAACAGCACACAGCTACACCACTTTTCACATAGACAGGACCATGATTGTTACAACTGCCTCTAAATACACACTTAACAATATCATGAAACAGGACATCACAACCAAGTTTAACGAAGCTTTGAAATGCCTCTCAAAGAATAAGTTGTTTCTATTTCTCAGTACAGTTGTAGGCAAGAGATGTGGATTTCTGTAATTCACAAAGAAACCAACACAGGCTATAGATGTATCTATGCTGTTGCATATGTAAACACAGCCAGAAGCATACAGTCGCGTGGCCATACATCTCAATTTACAGCAGTAGTGCCAAGTTTCTGTTTGTACCAGGCTCTTCTTTTCAACACCTTTCCAACTATTCCGTCTTTCAAAGCCTCTGAAACCTTTTCAGAGCAGTAAGTCATCAATGCAGTGTCATTCTGATCAGAAGTGATTCCATGCTTATTTGTTCTTTGTATCCTGGGAATGTATATTTGGGGGAATGAAGGGCAGCACAATAGTCTTTGTAAAGTCAAAAGGATCATCTTTTTAAAACAAACATTGAATATCCCACCTACTCTTTCTGTGAAATCATGCGCTAATGACTTCTGATTTTGTCATAAAAGGCTGAAAAACAAGGGAATGAGAAGACACTGAAAGGAAAAAGGGTAAAGTACTAGCACAGCAATACTACCTTCTCCATTTAGAAAATCCACAGTATTTCCACAATTTCACTTACTGTGTTACCTTACATACAAAGGAGTTAAACAATTGAATTCCCAAAAGTTTTAGAGACTTGTGTGCTCTTGTGAAAAAGTGGACATATCAAACAGCCGTGACTATTTAAAGAGCATAACTCAGACCTACATATCAAAACAGGAAGAGATTTTGTACAATAGGCTTTAAAATTTGTATTTAGTTTTACTAAAGGAAGGCAGTGTAATTGTTTTATTTTGACACAGTTCATGACAAACACAGCAGTCTCATTTACTTTCCCCTGAGGAAACAGAAAAAGACATTGTTGGGGGCTAACCTTGGCAGGGGTCAAACACCCACTCAACTGCTCTCCCAGTTTCCTTCCCAACAAGGACAGGAGAAAATAGGATGATAAAGCTGTTGGGTTTACCACTCAGCATCATGGGCTGACTCAACTTGAAGAAAATTTATTTAAGCTATTGCCACTTAGAATATATTTAGGTTGTAAGAAATAAAGAAAAAAAAATTAATTAACACTGTCTTCCCTACCCAAAAGAAGCTCCCAGCTTCCGAGGCATAACTTCATTCCATAGCTCCTGACTCTTTTACCACCTGCTGAGCCATGCAGGCAGAAGGTTTACAATAAATGCTTAACAGTTCCCATTGGGCCATTCTTTCCTCCTCACACTTTCCTCCCACTCTGGCACAGGGCCTCACAGGCTGGAGTCCTCCAGGATAAACCTATTCCAGAGCGGGTCTTCCATGGACCATAGTTCATTTAAGAGAGGAACCTGCTCCAGTATCTACTCCCCTCCACAAGCTGTGGCTTCTATGAGCAAATATCCACTTGCTCTGGGCTCCTCCACAAGCTATTTTATTGACATCAGCTCCACAGTGATCCTCTCCCTGGGCTGTAGAGAAATACCTGTTTCCAGTACATGAAGCAAACCCTCCCTCTTCTCCTTCCTGACCTTCACGTTTGTCAGGCTGTTTCTTACCCTCTCTTCTTCAGTCTATACTGCCTGTGTAGCATTAGTTTTTTCTTAAGCACATGGTCACAGAAATGCCCACCTCATGCTCCTGAAGAAATGTTCTAAAGCGTGTCTTTTCCCAAAACTAACATACAGTACAGATCATTAAGAAAGAACAAGCTATACATTTTTTAAAGAAAATGTGATGAGATACCATATTCAGATAAAGTAGAAGATTTCAGAGGAAGTGGACAAGATGGTCCACACTAGTGCATTATTTATACCATACAGAATCACATTCACCTTTGCAACCTTGTTAACAGTTTCTAATACTCCATACAATCACAATAAAAAATAGATGAGGAAGAGTCTGAACACAATGAAAAGCATCATGATTTCAGCTAATTGAATAGATCCATTTAAATAATGGAATTATTTACAAGTGTCACTCATTTACTATAGCTCATAGGTGCTGCTATTGTTATTTAATGCCTAAATCAAACAGTGAGACTCCACAAAAGAGGCAATTCAGCACCATACAAAGCTGAAAGTATAAATTTCAAAGGGTATTGTTGTCATTCATCCTAGAAAAAATACTATATTCCACTCCAGAAATCAAGAATTTGGGAAAAAATATTTTTCATTTAAAAAATCATAATAATAACCATTTATACTTTTCTCACTTTCCTTACAGTGAAAGATGGTCATTCTAATAAACACAACAAAATATCTGATAAATATTCATTTTAGCAAACCTACAAAGAATTTATCCTGCAAATAGTTCATTTAATTAAGAATCTCTTATTCAGTATTTAATAAGGTAAAACCTTCTACTCCCAACAGCTATTTTAACAAGTCTTTGGCAGATAACACAGGAACTATTCAAACAAGCTTCCAGAATTATAAGCAGCGTCAACAAATATTAAAATTATTATCTGGGCCCTTGAGCAAAAACGTTTGGCTTCACCAGCCTGACTTACACACAAATACACCAGACAATAAAACTACCCTACCTCGTGCTTTCTTCCAGTCCTTATATTGTTGCTTCCCAGAGTATCTGCAGTGTACAAATTATGCTCTGCTAGGTTAGGATCCCCTTACTTCAAATTTTCTGTAAAAGCTCAATTTCAGATTCTTGCACTATAATACAGTCCTCTAGCTCACTTAAAGAAGGCTGTTGAAATATCTAGAAAATGACAGTAGAGGTATAGTACAGTTTTAACAAAAAAATCGTAACATGGATGTGTAACACACCATTTACTTAAAACTGCCTAGAGAAATATATTAACAATATTACAGAAACATGCAAAAGCTGCAAATAATTCTGCTCTCCTAAATTACCCATGAATGCATAATCAAAACCAGGTCTCAAAATATTAAGGAAACATTTTTAGACCACCACCCTATTTTCTAAATCTAAATTTATGTTCTTAACAATGGCTGTTTTATACGCACATTTCTTCTGCAGTAACTTCTTCTACTTATTGGACGGTATTTTGTATGTCACATGCTATTAAATTTCTTGACAAAATATTGCACCTTCTGGACTTGTTTCTAGTGAAACTTCAAGTTGTAAGTATCACTGGCCGAACAAAAAAACCTCAACTGCATATTCTAGAACTAAACATATTGTTAGTTAAGAACTGCCTCAGAGAAGTACTTTTTTACTGTAAATCTAAAACTTGTATCCATAACATCCTTAAAGAGCACAAGTGTTGGGGTCAAACTGAAAACTTAAAGGAAAAAATAGACTCTAGTTCACAGTGTTGTTCAAGGCTGGTACTTTACTTTGTTAAACTGTTGAATTCTGTTAAACTGGTGAACTGATAGCTTTCCTAGCTATCAACCCATGTGCAGCAATTCCTTGGCACAATACAAGGCTGCTGCACAGTGATCAACTTACCTAGCTACCAAACCTTTTCAGAGAGGACACATTTCTGTGCTAGCAGCTCCCGTAAGTTATAACCATGATATTCAGTAGCAGACTCATGTATGCATGACCAAGAGTGGTCAAGCTAGCATGGCCTGACAACTGACTCCTGGTCAGTTGAGCTTTTCATTACCAGGTGTGATCACACCCCACCCTGTAACAACCACTGGGCAAAACTTTCTTTCTTAGTGTAAGCAGCAGCAATATGCTTGTTGGGTCACCTTACGGCAATCACAAAGTGAAATGCTTTAGCTCAAACCTCCTCCTCACTGCCATAAGGCTGGGGACAGATATTCATCTTTTAACACCTGTGCCAGAGAAAGATGATAGAATTCCCACATGGCCAATGCATCCAGGTAGCTGGAGGTTAACACTTCAGTGCCATTGCTGGAGAAGGGATGATGTAAACAGCCTCTCTAACTGATTGCATAACTAATGGTGGGTAGTTTAAAAGTCAATGGAAGTGGCTTGAGCTTACCTTGGACTGCACTGATGAGGGGAAACTCATGAAACTCTATTGCCAGTGGTGTTCTGACAGCAATGATGAGCAGCTGGCAAGCAGTAAGCTCTTCAATCAACAAACCTGATCCAGAAGACATGTTCTTAAGACTAACTAGAAGTTTTATTTTGTCCCTTATTAACAAGATTCTGACAACATCACTTGCTTGCAACTGTTTGCGCATATTCTTAAGACAAGTACTCATTTCAATAGAGAACATAACATTTGGTACAATCATCACATGGCACTGTGTTCACTGGTGTTCCCTACATTAAAAAAGTCAGGAATACTGACAAAAATTACAAAAAGCAGTGTAAAAAAAAGGTTAGGTAAATAAATCTCCAAATTCATGCCAATCAAGAAGTAAAGTGGTCCAAAGTTGATTAAAATCAATCAAGCACCTTAGTAAGCTTAGTATTTCTCAGAAACAGACAAATGGGCACAGACATTTTATTTATGCAGAATATGCTTTTCATAAAGCCTAAGATAAACTCATTATTTCAACAAATAAATTAAAAATTAAAGATATTGACCACTTTCTTTAGAAAAACCTCAACTCTTCATACAGTAAGTATAAGACATTTGTCAGACAATAAAAGTTGCCTGTGCTTTTGCTGACTGTTCCTTAAATACATTCTGTTCCTCATTTTGCATAGTTTAGGCCATATGTAGTTGCAAACAGATGTCATTACCACCTATGATCAGTAAAATACCTGTTTATAACCATTAGCTCATGAACACACAGAGAAAAAAAAAAGAAAACAAGAAAATGAGAAGTGACAAGCCATGCGATCAAAAGAATGCTTTAAAGAGAACTGGATTTCATGTTTGTTTGAACAAAACCTGAGCATTATATAAAAATGAAAAACATCCAACAAAACCAAGAAGATAGAAATAGTGTCAGTAGATAAGGGAAATGTAGTTGCACTTAGGTTCTGGAATTTATTTTATTATTTGAATTTTACTCTTTTTACAAAACAGAAATACACCTACGAACTTGACACACACATCTTACTGATTTCTCAGATGCATGTAAAAAAAGAGCTCCACGTGAAACACAAGTTTTAGAACTATATTAGTAGCTCAAAAAAAAGTCAACAACTTCAATCTGTTACAACAATTTCAATTCACATTCCTGGTACTTTAAAAAGTCTACACCTGTTAAGTGCTCATAGAATTATTTAACTTTAAAAGGACCTTTATATCCTTGAGTCCAGCTCCTGCTGCTGACCTGTAAGAATTAGAGAAATGTCACTAATTATTGACTTCTTATTGTATCACTACTTTTTATTTTCTTCTGTAAAAAAAATAAATACTGAGTACTTTAAAACATAACTCCATTTAAGTTGACTCCATCACAGATTACATCAAAACCTGCTCCACTATGTCATGCAGGTTCTGCTGTTGACTTTAGCATGACCAATATATGAAAATTATTATTCTTTATTTGCTTTGAGGTTATTTTTTTACTCTTTTCTTCTTCCAAAAGAGACCCCTAGAAATTGCCATGCTGTGATACTTATTTTAAATAAAATACTTATATATACTTTAAATAAAATAAAATAATACTTCTTTTAAATAAAAATTTATCTTATTTTCTAATAAAACCCTTACTGTCTCTGTCCACATGGCTATACAGACATATTTCTTGAAAAACTAAATCCAACAAATCAAGTCTTAGATCTTAACAAACACCTCCAAAATGCTATGCTTTTACCTTAAAATATTCAGTAGATTGCTGTTACCAAAACACACTTACCTATAGAATTTGGGTCTATGATACCCTCAAAACCTCCTCATTTTAAAGTATACTTGTGGAATTTTTTCAGCTTCAAAAATTCTAAGAATCCAGATGTAATTGATTAAATAAATTTAAAAATGAAAGTTTTGCTTATCAGTGGACTCCAACTCAAAAGGAGTTTGGTATAATTTTCTGTTAAACTTAACATATCTTTGAAAAACTGAGAAACATTCTTTTAATTATCCTAGCCTCAAGACTTTGTTTATTCAAATATAAGAGAAGGTTGAACAATTATTTTTTAGATAAGAAAGAAGACCTTCCCAAGACAGAAAACTGGATGAAACTTCTCTCGCTGGTGTTTAGTTTTAGATTCATGTCAATTTAATTTCATACTTCCAGAATTCTGTGGTCCAAGCATCTTTGGATAAGAGCAAAAGAAATTCTTAACAATTATTAAACACAAATTGTTTAGTGAAAAGATTTGGTTACTATGAGAACAACCAACTTCTTCTGTATAAACACATGACTCTATCAGCAACCTAGAATTTGAAGATGAACGCATGCAGAAAGAATGGCATTTTTACAAAGGCATGTAGTGACAGGACAAGGGACAATGACTTCAAACTGAAAGAGGGGAGATTTAAAGCAGACATTAGGATGAAATTCTTTAATGTGAGGGTGCTGATGCACTGGAACAGGTTGCCCAGAGAACCTGAGGATGCCCCATCCCCAGCAGTGTTCAAGGCCAGGTTGGATGGGGCTTGGAGCAACCTGCTCTAGTGGGAGGTGTCCCTGCCCATGGTCACAGTGGGGTGAAACTACATGATCCTTAGGTTCCTTCCAAGACAGGCCATTCTATGATTCTATGAAATGCAATTCCATCAGATTCTCAAAGAGAGATATGAACTTTTCTTGGATTTTCACTTTTTACATCTAAACTCTAATTGGTAATCTAAGACCAAAGGGAAGTATTACAAATCCTAAGTCCAAAAAGGCAAATAATTTGGGCTACAATGGAATGACTTTAAAATCATAACACTATCAGAAAAAAAAGCAGAATAGTGAGTTTCAAGGCTACAAAAATTAGTCAACATCCAAGGTCTGTAGGATGGAGTCCAGTTTCATAGTAAAGATCAGAAATCTGCAATCCAGAAAATTGCAGTCTGAGAGGCAGCCCTAGGTTCTTCAACAGCTTCTGCCTTAAAATTATCATTTTTCATATTACAAACTGAAATAGTAACTCAGAGAGTAACTCAACAGAGAAGTCCATGTAGTTCACTTCCTAAGTCTATTCTGAATCCTATGTCTAAAACTAAAATTCTTATGAGACAATTGTTTCAGTGTACACGTAATGGTGACCCTCTTCACAAGTCTATCCATCTTCATGCTGAGTGCAGCAAATAAAAAGCTTTCTCTTAGGTTTAAGCATCTTAGATTCGAGTCCTACTGTATTACAAAGCCCAGCTTAATAGAGTAATGGCTTCCTCTTTCACACAGTAAAGTCAGTTTACACCACATGCTATTTTATGAAAGATTATGCATCTACTGTGATACTGAAACTTACCCTATAGGCAAAATATATATTCCAAATAAATGTCAGAACTTGTATTTATGTTTTAAACAACAAATATGAGCCAAAAAATATTTATTTCTATCAAGCAGATATCTCACTACTCTTACATGTCTTTTCACAGTGAGACTCCAGTGATGGTTTTCTGGATGTATTAATCAAGCTGAAGCACAAGGACCATTTTGTAAGAAACCTGTAGTATATGGGAAACCATCCACTGTACTTACAGAAGGGAATCCAATACCATTGTTGTCACCTATTAAAAGTAGTACAAACAATATGGAAAAAATATAGCTATGCTCCACTATATTTCTGCACGACTTTTCTACACCAGCAAAAGAGAGCAGGTACCAAAGGAATGGATATCTAAGAGCTTCAGGACCCATTACACAGCCTAATGTGTAACATTCTGATGCCTGCTTGTGCTCAGCTCTCTCAGCACCAAGCTGTGCAAAAACCAATTGCAGTTTTGTTGGTACTGGACAACAAAACCAGTTGTCCAGTACCAACACTGTGGGCTAGGACAGGACCAAAAGAGCCTGGACAGTCCTTCTGTGACTTAGATGCAAGCTCAACTTTGCTTCAAACTGGTCAGAAGGCACACTATAGCTTAGTGAAAACTAAAGTCTCAGCAACAGAGCAGAGTTTAGACATACAGCTCAGACCAGAAAATAGGTGTACAAGATTACCAGAACATCTGAGTTAGGAAAAGAGTAATTTTGACCTATGGCACCCAACTAGACTATGGCCCATACCTAAAAGTTTTCTTCAGTCAAAACTCCTGGAATCTAGTGTCATCTGCCAAGCAAAGCCATAATGAATGAAATGATCAGAAGGAGTTTCCTGTTACTCTGTTACTGAGTTAGCTGTGAAGCTAAGTCACAGGCAGTGCTCACTACAGCATCCTTTGCAAACCCATTTCTGCAGCTTGGGCATCCCATTGTCACAGCCTCATGTCTATTCACTGCAAATACATCTAAGATGGGCAACAGGTCTTGAAGAACAACTTACCCAGCCTGGACCTTGATCTCATCATCCTCCCCCTGAGCTGTCAAAATGTCCTACAAGTCAGAAAAAGGGTTTCCACAATCCATTCACCCTTATAAGACTTATATTTGCCATCCTCCAAAATTCACATGATTTATATAAAAGGAAAAAGAACACTCTGATCATCTATATAGAAGAACAGAGAGGAGAAAAAAGGATGCAATTCCTATTTAAAAACCACGTGGCCACTACATCAGAAAGATTTCCCAAACCCAGTATGAATGATTTATTTTATTCATCAGGAAGATTACACCTCCTGGTATACAATTTATGCTCCAAATTACTGGGAAAAATATGCAATTATAAGATAAGAACGCTACTTTGTAGTCTGGAAAAAACCACTTAGAAGAATCATCACTGAAAGTTTAAAGAAAAGGCTGGATTTCATTAAGTCTCTTTGTGAAACTAGCCACACATTTCCTCATGCATTTTTGGAACTGGCAACTTTTCAGTAGCAAGTACACAATAAAACTGATTTTTTTCCACAAAATGATCATAGCACAGCAAGCAAAAGTTGAAAACATCAGTCCTATTTGCTCTAATACATTATCATTAGTAAACATTTAAAGCAGACTGCAACACTACAGAAGCCCAAGTAAACATTGATTAAAATGTCTTTATACTTTTGGAACAAAGCTTTATAACTGTGGTTTAGAAGTTTCTAGTAAGTATTATGGGTTTTTTCTTCTTTTTTTTAAGAGCTCTTTCAGCATTGTCTGTAACATT